AGAGTATTCTTCTGGAACATGGCCATACAGACTAGAAAGCTCACCGAATAAAACACTACACATAAAATACTACACATTCTAAACTGCCACCCTATATGTAAAGCCATCAATCAAACAGAACCATATTCTGTTTTGCACCACTAAGGATTTCAGAAGTGTCTTATTACAAAATATATATGAATACAGCAAGACATAATAAAGTAACTTAATATGACAGAACATGCCATACCAAATATCTGGCTTGTTTTCCCAACATAGCCTGCAGCATCTGGTATTCACTGGCAGCCTCCCATCCAAACACAAACTCAAACCAGTCCTGCTTAACTTCCAAGATCATACAGAATCTGGTGTGTTTAAGGCAGGCATGTCCAAAGTCCGGCCCGGGGACCAATTGTGGCACCTGTTTAAATTTCCACCAGCCCTCTCTCCCCAGGCCTACTTCCCTTGTTTCTTTACTTCCTCCCTTCTTCCTCTTTTCTTTGACTTCCTCTCTTAGTTTCTTCCTTCCTTCATGGGGATAAGGGCACTGGAAAAGACGGGTCCTCAGGAAAAGAGAAAGAAAGATGGTGGTCTCTTGCATCTCTTCACCCTGATTTAGCCTCGCCTTCTCAGCTGGCTCTGGCTTTGGGCATCCCGTCCCAGTGGCCTCTTTGTCTCTCTCTCTCTCTCTGTTCCCCCACAACATTTTATTTATTTGCAAAGGAAGCCTCCGCAATTACCCTGCTTGCCCCAAGCTCTCACTACTGCTGCCACCGTCGCTGCTGATGAATGGCCAGGAAGAGAGGGCCCTGAAGGCCAAGCGCCTGCCTGGCTACCCTCCCTCCCTTCCTTCTCCACCCCGCTTTAGTTCCACATCACTACCCCGTGTTTTTCAAAAAGGCCCTTCCCTTGGGAAGAAAAGGGGAGAGCCAGGCAGCAACTATAACTCCCCCTGCCACAATCAAAGCCCTCCTGGCAGATGGTCACACCGCCTATGCTGAAAAACCTCAAGAAAAGGGGATTCCACCAGACTCTGAGGCAGCATACACCACTGCCTGAAATGACTTGAAGGTATACAACAACAATCCTAATTAACTTGCCTCTCTCATAAGCCAAAAGCAGGCTCATACTTCCAACTGAAAGACTGGTACACTGATGTTGGTCCAAATTGTTCTTCGTCTTATATATTTTATTGTTCTTTCATGGTTTTTTTGCACTCCAAATAAGACATATGCAGTGTACATAGCAATATGTTCATGTTTTTTCTAACTATAGTCTGCTCTTCCCTACTCCCCCCCCCCCCCCCCCCCCCCAAAAAAAAAAAAACAGGCCGTGAACTAGCCATCGGCTTTAAAAGTTTGGACACCCCTGCTTTAGGGTATTTAGTATTGTACTTTTAGATTGACAATATGAGGAATTTCATCACTGCAGTTTCAAGAGTTTTTCAATTTCTGCAATCATTGCACTGGACTTGATTGAAAATACAGTTTGACTACCAAAAAAAAGCCAACATGAAAACAAACAAAAAAGGCACATATTGCAAAACATAAATATGGGTTTTCATTACACATTTGGCTCTTGTGCCACCTAGTGGACTACTAGATGGTGCTGATCAGAATTAGTTGCCAAATTGAGACCACTATAATTCTATGAATATTCTTTTATCCTATTGGCCAATAGCATTACCCATAATGGAAGCTTTTGAGAAGGAGTTCATATTCCTATGTACATTCATGATATATGATTTAGAAGATCTCTCAAGGACATAGGAGTTCTGGATATTTACAGTAAAACAAACAAATGTTTTCCCCAGCTGTGCCACAATTCATGTAGCTCAGGCATAGGCAAACTTTGGCCCTCCGAGTGTTAAGAATTGTGGGAGTTGAAGTCCAAAATGCCTAGAGGGCCAAAGTTTGTCCATGCCTGATCCAGCTACTACATTGGTTGCCAAAGTCCTCAAACTTTTTAAACAGAGGGCCAAGTCACAGTTCCTCAAACTGTTGGAGGGCAGGATTATAATTTTAAAAAACATGAATGAATTCCTATGCGCTCTGCACATATCTTATTTGTAGTGCAAAAAAAAAACACTTTAAAACAATACAATAATTAAAATGTGAAGAACAATTTTAACAAATATAAACTTATTAGTATTTCAATGGGAAGTGTGGGCCTGCTTTTGGCTGATGAGATAGGATTGTTGTTGTTGTGTGCTTTCAAGTCGTTTCAGACTTAGGTTGAACCTGAGTGAGGGCCAGGTAAATGACCTTGAAGGGCCATATCTGGCCCCCGGGCCTTAGTTTGAGGACCCCTACACTATACTTTTCTGTTTCATATAAATCCTTCAAGACAGCTAACAAAATATTTAATCATCTGTGTAAGTATGAAGTAACTTCCACAACAACTAAGATAGAAGCTATTAATGAATGCTGCATCTCAATAGTACAAGGTTACTTACATATGAAATTATATAAAAGATAAAAATTAAAAGTTCTGGATAACTCTAATCATAAACCTTATTTAACTCAATGCTTAAAGACATATTGGCCTGCCACTGGCAAAAGAAAAACAGCCACTAAGCAAGCTGTACACCTCTCTCCAAGGAAAACCACTATATAAAGGAAAAGACCAGGTGACTCCAGGCATCAATTCAGAAAACCAGCTGTAGGAAACTCACTACACATTTGTTTACAGGGAAGAATTTGGTTCCAATTAATGTTGCTTGCATGTGCAGATATGCAACAGAATATTCTGTAGAAGAGATCTGCCAAAAGAGCCAGGTCCCAGCACTTTGGTTTTGAGTTGGGGTGTTTTTGGTTTGGGGTTTTTTTTGGTATTGTTCTAAAATGATATGGGGTACTTTCGATCAAAAACTGGGTTAGAAATCTTCAAAATTATTTTAAAGTGTAAATAAAAGTTTTATTAGATACTCTTTGTTTGACACTCCTACTGAGTGTATCTGATGGAATGCTTATTTATATCTGTGTTATGTTCCTAAACAATTATTTTATAATGCATGAGGGATATGATTACCTTTTTATATTGGGGCAGGAAACATAAACATAATGGAAGTCTTTTGAACTACATGCAATTAATAGCATTTACAACCTAATTGACATTTTGATATCCATATCCATGGGATTAACCGAAGTGTTTGTGTGTGTGTGTACCACCATCTCAAAAGAGGCTGCAATGTACTAATGGAAGAGTCCCTCATCAGATGTGAATCTTTATATAACAAAAAAGTACTGTCCACACTACTAGATACAAATGGAAAGTCCATAGGAGTGAATAAGCATAACAGTAAGTATGGAGAATGAACATGGACAACTGAAGTTATAGATTTGCTTTGACGATCCAAGTAAATAGTAAGTCTCGGTTCATAGTGTTCATTTCTTTCCAGAGTCTGATGGTGGTTAAAAAGCTAAAGTTTTATCTTTTTTCCACAAATGTTCCTAAAATTCCTTTTTAAAATCACTCAAATTTAGGAGCATCTATAATATATAACTCAACCAGCCAAAAGGGGAGAGGGGAAACTACACAATATAATATACTACTCTAGAATGCCTATGAAAAGCCAGGTACTTGAAAAAAGTGTTTTGTACAAGTATCTTTATTTCTTAAATCTAAATGGGCAGGAGAGATTATAGTGACATGTGATTCCTACTGAGATTTTATAGGAAACAAGAAAAGCAATTCAAAATTACAGCTCCCCTAGCAAATGTAATTCAGATACATTGAAGATGTTTAGTGGCATTATATACAGTAATCGACAGTAATAATGCAAAAGACACTGAAATAGTGGGTATTTCTGGTTATTTGACTCTTGTACAAAGGAACTCGGCATCATGTACTAGGCATAATGTTATCTTAACATTGAGGGGAGAGCCGGTGTTGTAGTTCAGCGTGATGGTAACGTTACTACTACTGGTAGAAGGGAGAAGAGGTCTGCGCAGGTGTTAGAGGAGGAACAGCAGCGAAAGCGCATTAGGGAAATAATCATGGCCCCAAGTGATTCTGAGACGTTTGGGGGCTTCTCCGATTGTGAAATGGGGGATGGGGATGAGAGCAGGGGAGTAAAGAGGGCTACTTGCGATCAAGAGTCCGACGAGGAGCTTCAGAGGAAGCGCATCAGGGAAATAATTAGCGCTCCTACAGAGGACGAGGATTTCATGGGATTTGAAATGAGTGGTGGGTCTGGGAGTGATATGGGAGAGGAGGATGAGCTGGATTGGACACGTGTTCAACAGATTAGGGACATTTGTAACCAACCCACCTCCAGTGATGAATTTGAGGGGTTCACAGGGGATTGGCAACCGGGGAGCACTTGGCAAGATCTCAGTCTTGGCAGACGCTGGCAGAGGTGGAGGGATGGGCGCTCGGGTTCAGCTGCAGGGATGGAGGCAGCTGAGAGCGATGAGGAAAGGGTGGGGAGCTCATCATCCTCTAATGAGGAGCTGTAGGATAAAAGTGGGTTTTGAATGTATGGCTCTTTGCAGAAGGCAAAGTGTCTCTTTTGGGATGTGAATCTTTGTTACTGCCAACTCTCGAGCTTGGGTCCTTGGACTACAGATTCCTGTGTTGCTGTGTTCCTGTGCTCCTGTGTTCCCGTGTTTACCTTCGCTCAACGGCTTGACTACGGACCGGTTTGACCAACGCCTTTGTCTCTTGGACTTCTCTATTGCTAACTTCATGTTTGGACCTTGCATCGTTCTGGGACGACTTTTTCTTGTTTCCTGTGACTGTGTTTTTGAATTGTGTGAACTTTCAAGCAATTTGCTGAACTTTTCTGTTAACCTGTTAAACAGCAATATAATCCGGGTTATATTTTTGTTGCTGGTATCGCTTCGTTTTTTATGCCAAATTACTGCCTTAGTTCACTGCACTGCAGTTAAGAGCTTTAAAAGACTCTTTTTGTGTAATAAAGCTGTGTTTGAACCCTCTACCTTGTGTTTGGCTCTACTTAAGGCTTCTGGGTCTTGACAGACAGGTTGGATAAAGAAACATTTAAAAAGATGACTCACCAAACTAGCTGTTAGAGAAGGCGCTGACTGCCCCAGTGTTTGGCTGCGCATTCGGACAAGATTGGAAGTTTCTCCATTTTGCCATGATTGTTGTGTAACAGCATTTGGCAGCAAGTACCTACCTGTCAAAGATTTGGGAGAAAAAATAATTAAAACCGTTTCAGATACCATTCAAAAACAATTCAATGTAATGCAAAATGAACAGTGGTTGGAGTTCAGAGCTATTTGGTCTGATTTAGCAGCCTATAAACAAATCATTCTCATATGGGTTGTTGTAGGTTTCTTGGGCTATATTCTCATATGTTTTTGCAGAAAGCTTTGGAGTTACTCTTTTGCTCCAAATAACAGTGAGCAATCTTCATGCTAGTGATACACAAGTATGGGGATAACTTGTTGGTTAATTTTCTATTTTCATATGACATGCTGGTTTATCCTACCCTGTTAATTATGAGATAGACTGCTTTATTCATACTGTGGCATTAACTGCTTTTTCTACGATATGCTTTCTTTTGTAAGATATGTTATTTGGTCAAAAAGTTAATTTGTAACACCTTGCACCTTGTTTTCCCTGTTTTTTCTATTCCTTTCTTTGTAGCGATTGAAAAGCTTATGAGAAAGGTGAAGGTGGGGGTGTAAATGTGATCAGATAAACAAGTTGGTACTGTAGTTTACATTTGTAATTGTGTATTTCCTTTATATAGTTTTGTATGCAATATACCATAACCAGTGTAACATATTTCTATTTGTAATACAGTTGTAATGTGTGGTTTTAATGTGTACAGCATTATAAATAATAGAAACAATTTTCTTTATTTTTATGTGGTGAAGGTAAGATAATCCTATACAAAGTAACCATAAGTGACTATGTGCCATTGTTTTGTATGTGCATGCACACAACACGGATCTATGGTAGGAGGATAATTATGGGCTTTCAGAAGAAAACATGGCATGTTTTAGGGATAACTTTGAAGACATGGACTCCATCGTCAAAGATGCATGGACTCCATCATYAAAGACTCTACTAACAGAAATATTTACTTAGAACCTGAATCCCAGGAATAAGAGGATCTGTTTCTCTTTATCCACCCCCCCCCCCCACCACCACCACCACCAAAAAAAAAAACACAAGGGCATCACATTTAAAACACTATTACTTTGACAATATTGAATGTGAGCTGGAAAAATAAGGACAATTAAATCATCATCATTTGACAGGTCCATTAAAGACCTCATTTTCTCATTAATTATTTTAAGCCAATACTCCCATTTGATTTAGTCCTACTTATGTATGTAAATCAGAATTTCTCAACCTGGAGTTCTGGACCCCAGTATTTTGCCTCTGTTGGTTATGGGAGTTCTGTGAGGGAATTTTGCCTTAATTCTATCATTGGTGAGGTTCAGAATGCTCTTTGATTGCAGGTGAACTATAAATCCCAGCAACTACAACTCCCAAATGTCAAGGTCTATTTTCCCTAAAATCCACCAGTGTTCACATTTGAGTATTTGTGCCAAATTTCATCCAGTGAATGAAAATACATCCTGCATATCAGATATATACATTATGATTCATAACAATAGCAAAATTACAGTTATGATGTAGCAACAAAAATAATTTTGTTGTTTTGGGTCACCACAACATGAGGAACTGTATTAAGAGGTCATGGAATTCAGAAGGTTGAGAATCACTTATGCAAAGTATACTAATTCAGAAAGTAAATTCCAAATAAAATGTCTACTTCAAGCAATAGCTGCTATGGTTGACTCATATGACTTCAAAGTAAAAGGTAATGGGTGTGGAGGGAACTGTGGAAGGAAGAATAGGTATCTCTTCGAAGAAATGATGACCCTAAGGGGTTATGCTTTTAGACAACTCCAGCCCTAGGCAAAAAAGAAAATAATGTGGAATATACACATGTTAGTGTTCTCACGCCCATCTACATAGACTATAACAATCTCTATTAGCCTTAATGGGAAAATAAAACAGAATGGATTAATTTTGAACCATTGTTATGAAACATTTCATTATGTTATCTTATTTCCTTGTGGTTACATCAAAAAACTTTATTTAAATCCAATTTGTGAGGAATACCGGCAGACATTAAAAAAAGATGTTGCTGGCTAATTCATGCATCATTTGCTGCTTACAACTTAAGGAAATTAGCATCTGTCAAGTGTATTAGTCAGCTGCATATGGTTAAAATTAATGGACAACACTACTTTCTCTGCCAGATTTAAAACAGAGATGAACACTTCCCTCCAATCTGTCCAGTAAATCTGATATAATTCAATCAAAGCTAGAATTACAGCTGACTTAATTATGTTGTCCTTGGCTATTGCAAGAGAAACACTTGTACTAAACCCCATTAACAAAATTCAGCACTTTCATGTCCTTTTTTTTCTTTGCACTGTAATAAACCTATCTAGTGCACATTACCGAGGTGCTAAAATATCCAAAGCAGTTTGGAATAACTGCACAGTTAACATTTACAATTAGTGTTATTTTAATCCTTTCCTCATTAAAAATGCTACTACTACCTTTTCAAACGGAGGTGTAATAAAGGAAGAAATAAACTTTAGCCCAGCACTTAAATGATACACATAAATATATGAAAGTACTTCAGAAATGGCTTAGAAAGTGACAGAGTCACTCTACTCGGAATAAAATAGTCCATGTCTGAAATGAATGGTTACAGTTCATTTCATCTGACCAAATGAACCTGAGAACAAAACACGTAACTTCCTAAGCACATTTGCATGTGTTCCATCATATCATTATCTCTTTGGATTCCTAGGATATGTAACTTCTATACAGATTTGAATTCTACAGTTACGATTATATCAAATTTTGCAGTCTTTTTAAAAACTCTTTCATTTCATTCTTTTACAACACATCCATGAAATAGCATAAACTGTTTTAAATGGTATAAGTCTCAAAAAGTTCACTGATCACTTAAAACGGACATGTATCCAAAGAAAAAATAGCAATAGCATATTAAAAGGTGTGCTGGATAAATTCAATGAACCCATTAGGCCAGTGGTTCCCAACCTGTGGTCCCCAAGAACGAAAATATGGCCCGTGGCCTCAGCGTTGCTACACCGTTGCCTCATCTTGATGCCTTGATGTAGGCATCAAGACTTACCTTGGTCTTGATGTCTACATTAATTTAATAGCTGCCTGAAATTGCTACACAATTTATTAAATTAGAAATAGATCAGGTTTTCTTTGTTTTTACTAATGAAGTTCAACTAGGCATACTAGAAGTTCTAAGCAATATGAACAAAAATATAAACACAACAGAATATCAGTACCCATGGGACTCGCAACTGTAGTTTAATGGATCTACAGCCAACAAAATATGTTCTCTATGAATGTTTTAGGTTCTCCAGGCACTTCTACGGCTGGATACTACCACAGGGTTGTCCTGGAGGACCTAGCAAAATCCTAGAGAAAATGCCTCTCTGGGTATTTTCTAGGACCACCAGAGTGGCTAATTACTACCCTGGTTGTTCATAGGGTTTGCTATTGTCCACAATTTCTTGTTACCACAGTAAGTTCAGAAACTTATGTCCTATGGATATGACAGTTGTACTGTATACACATAGTATAAATTTTAATATAATGCAATGATGCTCTGTTACAATGAGTAATAGAAAGGAAATTATTTCACACCTTTTAGATCACTATGTGTCTGAGTAGACACAATGCCCTTCACTTCCAGCGCATTTAGAAAGCCATTATTTTATATCATGAATCCATTCTTAGCACAGCCAGCTGAGTCTGTAGAGCATTCTTGATTCTGACAATTTAAGCCCAAGCCCAAGTGATTGTATAAAGCTCTTTGAAGTTACTTCAGTTCATGAAACCCATTCACAGCACCAAAGGAGCTTTGCAGTTAACAAGTTTTTCTTCTTTGTGACAGGGAAAAAATATATAGCTTCATTTTTTGTACTTTTTATATTTATAAGGGAAATTAAAGAAATAAAAGAAATGCATTTTGAATTCAATTCAGGCATTAACAAATAAACATTTTGCACCTTTTACTTAATGTGTTGATTTACTTAATTTCAATATGGAATTTACTTTAAAAACTATACAAATAGATTCAGAAGGTAACAGCAAAATAGCTACCAATGCCATATGCCGAAAATTGTTATCCATCCCCAACACATTTAACCTTACAATGCATGAATAAATTTTTCAGAGACCTGACTGACAGGCTTCTCTCTGGAGATCAATACTAGCTTTCAGACAGGCAAGTAGTTAAATTTATGTGTGAATGGCAGAGTGAATCTAGGAATCTGACTCTGTCTTTCATCCTTCCGGGAAATGAGCTACTGTTTCTTCCAACAAGTTACGGGAAATCAAATGATTTGAATGCAATAATTATAATATGCACCAAAATATGTGTGTGTGTGTGTGTATAGACAGACAGACAGACAGACAGATAGATAGGCTCCTTTATATGACCTATATGCTATTTATGTTAATTGGCCCTGAATGGAACAAGAAGGGGAAGCAACCTGATGAAGGTCCAGCTGAGGCCAGGTGTCTACCCAAGAGTACTTCCTCAACTTTCTGTTTGACGAAGGACCAGCGCTATAGACTCATATAATGCAGTTCTTAAAATGGTTATAACCTATGCCCCTCACCCATCTCTACTCTATTCCATTACAGTATTAAATGCAATATTGGCCATCTGACAGGAGTGCTCTGACTGTGTTCCTGCATGGCACTTGGTTGAACTGGAGGGCCCTTGTGGTCTCTTCCAACCCTATAATTCTTGTTCCAGGGAGGGAGAGCTGTACTAGGCTGCCTGGTTCAATAACCAATCCATTGCCGGTATAGGAAATATATAAACTCCCAAGCACACTGATAGCAGCTATAATGTTTTAATTGTATTTAATTGGCTTTACATCAAAACCTTTGGAACCAACACAGACATGCACATGATTTTAAAACAGTTTTCACATTTAAAATATGTTTTAACACAGGCATGGGCAAACTTCGACCCTACAGGTGTTTTGAACTTCAACCCTCACAATTCCTCACAGCCTACCAGCTGTAAGGAATAGAGGGAGTTGAAGTCCAAAACAATTGGAGGGCTGAAGTTTTCTCATGCATGTTTTAACTTGTTAATACGTTTTTAATCCATTAAAAGCCTCCATATTTTCTATTTCTAAAAGTGAGTTGGTAAGAATAATGTAAGAACAAAAGCCTAAAACCTATTTTTGATCCCAACAAGAAAAAAAATCATTGAATCAATAGGATTTAAGTAATTACTGAATTGCCATTCAGTAATTGATTCTTTGGGTATATTCTACCTGGATTAGCAATTGGATTGAAGGCCAAAGGGCCTAGCTAGATCATAATTACCAACCAAAGGCATTATCTACCTTCAGTGGTCAGTGATTTCCCAGCTGCTATATATTCCAGATATCTACATTCACATTCACATTCACACAGGAATGATTTAAAGTGTATAAGCATCAGTATTTTCACTTGTCATTTTCCTTACCAGTCAGAGCTCCTCCAAGGCTTCCTCTTCTGAATGGTCTGCCATCTTCACTGAGCTGCCTTTTAAATTTCAGTGACTTGCCAGGGCCAGAAGAAACTTCAGGGTTACTGGATTTCCGAAACGGCATAGATGGTGGGGACAATATGCTGTCAAGCTGTAAATAAAGAAATATAGTATTTTTATCTGTTTGAATGTAGTATTGGGATAACCATTGTGTATTAAAACAGACCTCTTGCTAGCTAGATTTGAGAGAATCTCAACATGAAGTAAAGTACCATACTTTAGTAAGTGGAAATGTATTATTAAAAAACTATGGTTGCAGACAAGTGACATGTCCCCACTCTCCACACTCACAATTTTAAAGGATATCTAGTTATTGTGTTCATTCATTTTTTAATTTATTCATTACATTTTATCAAATCTTTCCTTTAAAAATAGCATTCAGGGTGATTCATAAGCATCACTAAACTTAAATTAAAAAGAAATAAAATAAAGTTTAAAAAAACACCACAATAATCAGTAAACATCAATCTGCATTAAAGGCCAGACTGAAAAGACATGTCTTTACAACCTTCCTAAAAGTAGAAAGAATGGGAACTCTAAGAACAGTCTATAATCTCGGAGCAAAAAGAAAGCTCTCACCCACATATTTAGGACTTAACACAAATATTTTGACTGCAGCCAAGAAAGCACATGACAACCACTATAAGTCTTTAAGTCTGTCAGAATAATCTGATATGAGGACACAGAAGCAAGTAAGTTTTTATTGATTCAGATCAAGGTTGATAATTTGGCTTCTGCCGAGTGTTGTAGTACAGCGTGATAGTAACGYTACTACTACTGGTAGAAGGGAGAAGAGGGCTGCGCAGGTGTTGGAGGAGGAGCAGCAGCGAAAGCGGATTAGAGATATATTCATGGCCCCAACTGATTCYGAATCCTTTGAGGGTTTCTCAGACTGCGAAATGGGGGAAGGAGAGGAAAGCAGGGGAGTCAAGCGGGCTACTCGTGAACAAGAATCTGATGAGGAGATTCAAAGGAAGCATATCCGTGATATACTTAGTGCTCCAACAGAGGATGAAGACTTTATGGGYTKTGAAARGAGTGATGGGACTGAGAGTGACATGGGGGAGGAGGATGATCTTGRCTGKACCYGTGTACAGKAGATTAGGGATATCTGTACTCAGYCTACCTCCAGTGATAACTTTGAGGGGTTTACAGAAGAGTGGCAATCTGGGAACACTTGGCAAGATCTAAGTCTTGACAGACGCTGGCAAAGGTGGAGAGATGRGAGACTGGGTTCAGCTGCAGGGAATGGGGCAGCTGAGAGTGATGATGAAAGGGTGGGGAGCAGCTCACCTTCTGATTAGGAGCTTTAGGATATAARTTGGTTGGGTTTCAATGGGTCTTTGCAGAAGGCAAAGTGTCTTTTTGGGTGTGAATCTTTGTTCCTGCCATTACTCTCAAGCTTGGGTCCTTGGACTACAGATCTCTGTGTTTCCTTCTTGAAACTCCGTAAGTGCCGACTTCTACTCTCCCGTTTTGACTCTGGACCGTGTTTGACGACGACTACGTTTTTTGGACTATCTCATCTTGTTTCGAATGTGCTCGGATTACGGACTGCCTTTGGACACTGTTTTTGCTCATTCCCACTTTGTTTTTGTATTTTCTTTGGACACTGTGAATTTCAAGCAGATTGCTGCATATTTTTGTTATACCGGATTAAACGCCATGATAATCCGGATTATATTTAAGTTGGTTTTTTCGCTCTGCGTTTGCTACAAACTCTTAGTTCTTGCTAGAGACACTGAAGTAAGTGTCTCTAAGCCTTTTTTGTATATAATAAATCTGTGTTTGGACCTTTTACATTGTGTTTGGCGTTCTTGAGGCTTCTGGGTCTTGACACCGAGTCACTGGTTTCCTTGGAAGGCGAAGCTAGCAACGACTAGCTGTACATGACAGTGCCTCAATCTCTGGATGTACCAGAGAAGCTTACAAGATGATTAATGACCACTAACCACTACCTTAAAGGAGCTAGGGGTGGTGACGGCCAACAGCAAGCTCTGGCGTGGGCTGGTCCATGAGGTCACAAAGAGTCGGAAACGACTGAACAAATGAACAAGACAAGAAGAACCACTACCCCTTCCTTTTCATTCACACTGGAACAAATTCCAAATGGTAGGGGGGACAGAGGTACTGAAGCAAAAGCCTCAATGATGCAAGAAGAATTGAGCCAGTGCTACAAGAAGCCAACTGTGAGTAGCAAAAAGCAATAAGGAATCATTTGGAATGAATGGCTCATGACCTTAGAGTAATACATACTTATTTGTCACAGAACACTGAATGCAAAGAAGATGAACTTGAATTCTTAGAACAGGAAGACAAAAATTATTTAATAGATATCAAATCTGGTAGAAGGATTAGAAAATAATAATGGAAGGGTATAACAAAGAAAATATGACAAAGAAAAAGATCAAAGGAGCCACAGCAGCATTATCTACCAAGGATGTGTATTAGTCATGGGCCTGGTATCTATCATCCATTTGATTTGTGTTTCCATTCATTCCATCCATTCGGATGGCACAGAATGGGAAGGCCCCTCTTGGAACAAAAATAAACTCAATACGAAAGGAAGGCAGGAACGAGTACTGGCACCAAGCCTGCTTTTTGGATTGACTGCCACACCCAGGCCTGCCAGGCCTGCAGCTGAGAGCCGAGAAAGCACTGCCTACTCGGCACTTGGGTGCAGGCCCTTGCAGGCTCTGGTGCTTTGGGCTTATGCGCCCAGGCCTGCCAGGGCCTGTAGCCAAATGCAAGGAGTGCTATTTATTCAGCGCTCAGTTGCAGGCCCTTCCAGGCCTGGGCACTTTGGGCCTATGTGCCTGGGCCTGCCGGAGCCTACAGCCAAACACCCAGTAAGGAGCACTGTTTATTTGACGCTCGGGTGCAGGCTCTGGCAAGCGTAGGTGCAGCAATTGATGCAGGTCTGCACTTTGAATCTGCAGGATGGAGTGAGCTACCATTGATAGCCCCAGCTTCTGTCAATGTAGCAGTTCAAAAACATGCAAATGTGAGATCAATAGGTACCGCTTTGGCAGGAGGGTAACGGCTCTCCATGCAGTCATGCCGGCCACAGGACCTAGGAGGCCTCAACGGACGATGCCGGCTCTTAGAAATTGAGATGTGCACCACCCTCCAGAGTTGGACTCAACTAGACTCAATGTCAAGGAGAAACCTCTACCTTTACAATAAAATAATTTATTTTTTTAAGAAAATCATAATAATACAAACAACTATTATCCAATAAGCAAACTATAAAGAATTACTCAGGTTTTACATGTGCAGTGAATACAACATAAGATCCAGAAACGTGAACATGCAAATGTTTTTCATCAACTGGTCTCATTTAACTCTATATGGAGAGAGTATGATCATCCACCAGATGGCACTGCATTATAATTAATCAAATAGCACCAGTTCTATACTGAAAAGCTGTGTTCAGAAAACTCACAGCAACCCAGTGATTCTGGCCATGAAAGCCTTCAACAACACATTGTGTTCAGAATAATGATAAAATGTATTTAGGCACAACAAGATGCTGTTTACATACTTATTCCTTACTATTTTTTCTTTTTATGAAATAAATATTTAGTTTTCCTGTCATATACTCTTATTTTCCACCAAAATTGATATGTTTCACTGAGTATGAGTTTTTAAATTTTACACAACAGATATAAGACAAACAATATTTAAGTTCTGAGCATACCACATGTATGACTGTTTCCCAAACTAGAGATAAGACAAACATATTCTGATGATGCCACACAGACCCAACATTTTGTAAACAAAAGATTATAAGAAGAGCTCTGCAAGATCTAAAGGTCACAAAATTCAGAATTTCACTTTCGAAGACAGCCAACCAGTTGTAAGACAAATGTCCTATTCACTTTTCCATACAGAATTATCCACAATAAATTCTCAGAAATTTATTAGTGAGACTTGTGATGCATTTTGCAGAAGAAAATGAACAGGTATCCATGACATGTGATTGACCAACTACTAAATCACCCTAGAGAATGAATCCACTTAAAATCCAGTTGCTGCCTCCTGCAGAATTATGGGGTTTGTAATTTATGGAGAAGCCTTTAACAGCCTCACCAACCTACAAACCCCAGAATTCTGCAGGAGGCAGAAAATGCAAACATCATGTATTTTTATATTTAGAAAAAGAATTTCTATCATGCAAAAAAAGAAGAGATTCACAATCTAATTGGGAACAACTGACTTGACTGGAGGCGAGATTCTGACTGCAAAATACAGGTTATCCTCTTGTTTACATCCACCTAGGGTCAGAGGATACACCTTAGAAGGGAAGAGGAAAGTGATAAAGAGCATTTCACATCCAAATTAGATGAAATGAGTGTCTCCAAACTTCAGCAACAGGTGAGTGCTTTCTAGTATCAGCAGAAGGTGAAGCACCTGAAAGCAAACCCTCTTCGGCCATGGAAATAAAAGCCACATTCAGCACAATACAATACATTCTGGACCAACCCCACCTATTCCCTTAGTTTAGGTTGAGAACCTATTTGCATCTCATTCATCACACAACAACATATTCGACAACTGTTCTAGACTGGGGAAACTGCTACCTATTCCGTGCTATTGTTTTATTTAACATTTTAGTCTTGAAAAACAGCAGTATTTTCAACTAGGCTTGGAATCAGAAGAGTTAAGACAACCAGTAACAAAAGGGCTGGAAATACAATACACCAGGCTCGTAGCCAGGATTTCGATTCGGGGGGGGGGGGGGGGTTTTTTTTGGGTTTTTCGGGGGGGCTGAGTTTGGGGGGGGCTGAGTCTGAGTGAAAGAGGGTCTACCCTAGCAAACCTTTTGTATCATTACCCCAATACCCCCATGCATATGTGATATATTGAGTATGGTGATCAGATCATGATATGAATAAACATAACAGTTTAAATAATGCACCAGTAAGGCCTTTTCGCGAACCACCATGAGAATTTCGGGGGGGGGGCTGAAGCCCCTCAAGCCCCCCCCCCCCCCCCTCTACATGCCTGCATACACTATTATGACCTCCCATTGCAGAAAGAAGAAAAAGAAAGTGTTTCCAGGATAAGATGTGACAGTTTCCTAACGTA